CTGAAAGGACCTGTTCAGAGATGGTAGTGGTGGTGGTGGTTATGTGCCGTGGAGTCGATTCCGATTCATAGCGACCCTGTACAGGGTTTCCGAGGCTGTAAATCTTTACAGGAGCAGAAAGCCTTATCTTTCTCCCACGGAACAGCTGGTAGATTGGAACTGCTGACCCTGAGGTTAGCAGCCCGACTTGTAACCACTATGCTACCAGAGCTCCTTTGTTCAGAGATGGTCCTGCTAATTCCTTTGCTTTTTTAAATTACACCTGCAAGTGGAGGTGCAGAGAATAACAGGAGAGGTGGTCTCCCGAAGAGAAAGCAGAGTTCCTTTTGATAACTAACATTTAAAAACAAAACAAAACAACTAAACCATGGGCTCTCAAGGAGTCCTGGTGTGGCGCTGTAAGATAAGCACTGGACTACTCACTGCAGAGTTGCTGGCTCACACCTATTAGCCACTCCTTGGGAATCCTATCAAGGTTACTATGAATTGAAACACACTTGATGACACTTAACAACAGTGGGCTCTCAGACTTTCCTGTATTCATTTTTGGAGGGAGGGTGGGAAGGGAAGGTGTTTTGTTTTTTTTAAATGCAGGTTCTTGTGTTTCAATCCCAGAGATTCTAATTTAGTAAATCTGGGGGTGGGTCCTAGGAGCCTGCGTTTCCTCCCAGGTAATTGGGGTTGTTAATGATCCTTTGGTAAGTATTTCTTATTCTAGTTGTTGAGTTGATTTCTGGCTCATGGTGAGGTGACCCCATGTGTGTCAGAGTATAACTGTGCTCCATAGGGTGTTGTTTTTTTTTTATTTAAAAAATTTTTTTTTCATCAGTTAATTAAAGGAGCTCTGGTAGCAGCGTAGCGGTTATGTGTCGGACTGCTAATTGCACAGCCTCGGAAACCCTTTATAGTTAGTGTTGTTATGAGTCGGAACAGACTCCACGGCACATCACCACCAGTTAATTAACTGATTGATTAATATTGAACTGGGTGAAGGTTTACAGAGCAAATCAGTATTCCAGTCAGCATTTCAGACACATCTTGTATCCCATCCTTGACTGCAATCCCCACAAAGTCACATCACTCATCCCACTTCCTCTCTGCTTCCCACTCCCATTCCTCCTTCTTTCCTAACCCTTCTGCACTTTGTTCCTGAGCGTAGGGTTTGCAAGGGCTGATTTGGAGGACGTACATTGCCAGGACTTTGTTTGAGGAGGCTTTGGGTAGACTTAGGTCTTCAACCTTTTGGTGAGTAGTCGAACATGTGACATGTGTGCACCACCCAGCTACTCCCAGCCTAACTGAGGGGACTGCTGACTGTGCAGTAGGGCCAAATTTGGCCTGCAAGCTAAGAATGGTTTTTACATTTTTGAAGGTTATTATTGAAAAAAAAAAAGGAGAGAATATGTAACAGAGACCATAAAGCTGAAAATATTTACACTTTGGTCCTTTGTGGAAAAAATGAGACCCCCTGCCTAAACCCTTTATCCTCTAGTAAGCTTTAGTTACTATGTACATGTTACAGGTTTAGCTACTCTAACATTTACATAGTAGCTAAAGCTCACTAGAGGTGCTGCCGCCACCAGGTTACGCAAGCTACCCACGCTATTGGTCCTTCTATTGTCTCGCAGCCTGGCTGCCACACCATGGATACCCCGAGACAAGTGGTCAATTTCGGGCCCGGGCCCGCCGAGCTGCCGCACTCCATATTGCTGGAGATACAAAAAGATTTACTAAACTACAAAGGCGTTGGAATTAGTGTTCTTGAAATGAGCCACAGATCATCCGATTTTGCTAAGATTATAAACACCGCAGAGAATCTTGTGCGGGAATTGTTAGCCGTTCCCGATAGCTACAAGGTGATTTTTGTGCAAGGAGGTGGGTCTGGCGAGTTCAATTCTGTTCCCCTTAAACCTGATTGGCTTGAAAACAGGCAGATGTGCTGACTACTTGGTGACAGGAGCTTGGTCAGCTAAGGCTGCAGAAGAAGCCAAGAAGTTTGGGACTGTAAATATTGTCCACCCCAAACTCGGAAGCTATACAAAAATTCCAGATCCAAACACCTGGAACCTCAACCCAGATGCCTCTTACATGTATTACTGCTCAAACGAGACCCATGCATGGGGTGGAATTTGATTTTATACCCGATGTCAAAGGTGCCGTGTTGGATTGTGACATGTCTTCAAGCCTGTGGATGTTTCCAAGTTTGGGATGATTTTTGGGCTCTGTTGGGGTTACAGTGGTGATTATGCGTGATGACCTACTGGGGTTCGCTCTCCAGGAATGCCCCTCCATCCTGGAATACAAAGTGCAAGCTGGAAACAGCTCGTTGTACAACACACCTCCATGCTTCAGCATCTATGTCATGGGCCTGGTTCTGAAGTGGATTAAGAACAACGGCAGCACAGCAGCCATGGAGAACTTCAACGTAGTCAAATCTCAAATGATTTACGATATCATCGATAACTTTCAAGGGTTCTATGTATGTCCAGTGGAGCCCGAGAATAGAAGCAAGATGAATATCCTATTCCGCATTGGCAATGCCAAAGGAGATGATGCTCTAGAAAAAAGATTTCTTAATAGAGCTCTTGAACACAATATGCTGTCTTTGAAAGGCCGCAGGTCTGTGGGAGGCATCCGCGCCTTTCTCTATAACACTGTCACCAATGAAGATGTTCAGAAGCTGGCAGCCTTCATGAAAAACTTTTTGAAGATGCATCAGTTTTGAACCCTGACCACTGTATACTCTGTCGTTGAACAATGCATGAGATTTAAAATGACAAGGGAATGGTTAACAAAACTTTTAACAAATAACAGTATTTTTCTCAAATGAATATACTTAATATACATTCTTTTTTTCAAAGAACAAAAACCAAACATCAAGAGCTCTGTAGAGCTGGTGGGACGTAATGGCCACTTTAACTTTGACTTGAACTGGAATCATTTTAGCAAAACCTTCCTGTTGCTTTTCTAATGAATTCAAGCTTATTTTGTCTTTGCTGCTGCTTTTTCTAGCTAGATCTTAGTTTTCAAACTTGCCCATGGACTGAATTATGTAAGTTGCAGTTCATTATTTCTAGAGACACACAAATGCATAGTATGAAGGGTGGGTGGAAACTACTAGGTGCTAACTCTAGATGTTTTCTGAAATGGCAACGGTGGGATCTCTGGGTTCCGCAGCCATTAAGATTGAGCATTTGGGATGTCTGGGTCTTTCTTTATATTGTTACTCACATAAAGAAATAAAAGTGGCATACTGTATTTTATATAGAACATCTGTTTTTTAATATCACATAGTTTATATCTCTCTGCATTTATAGTTCTAGTAATGTGGTTCTCAGTGACATAGGTAGAGACGAAGAATTTGTTAGAATCCTTGACCTGGTACTTACAGCTATACCATAAGCAGTGGTGGTGTGTGTCCCTTTTATAAACCACTTCAGAGAAAAGAGATTTAGAAGTTCTGTACTTCACTCTTTCTCTCTTTTCATTAGCTAGAAGAGGAAGTTGATCAGTTGGTTTGTGGTTTGTTTTTTAATAATGCCTTCAAACTAAAAATCTCTGTTAAACTCCCTTATTCTGTTTAAACTAAAAATCTCTGTTAAACTCCCTTATTCTGTGTAAACTAAAAATCTCTGTTAAACTCCCTTATTCTATGTTCACTTGACTGTTCTCTTTATTGTGCCTGACCAGGGTGATACTGTGAGTTCCAGAAGAATCTGTGCTCAAGAGTCTTTTCCCTCTTGTGTATCCATTGTCAGTATTTAATGTTGAATGTGTGGAAAACATTTAAATACTAAGACATCTAAGCCCTTGTCAGTGGGCCCCTCTACCTGATTTTTAGACAAATTGTTCTTTTTAAACTTTATGATGGGAATAAACAACTTCAGTTTGAAAATGAAAATAATAATAATAAAGCTCACTAGAGGATAAAGGAGGTCCGGGAACTAGTGTAAAGCTATGGGCTGGTGGTAGGGCAACCTATCACTTTTCTTTTCTAAACTTTTTTATTGTGAATTGGGTGAAGGTTTACAGAGCAAATTCACTTCCATTCCACAGTTCATACACGTTTGCTTTATGTCATTAATTTCAGTCTTTACAATGTAACAGAGTCCTGGTGTGGCGCTGTGGGTCAAAACGCTGCACTGCAAAGTCGTTTGAACTGCAAAGTCAGTGGTTCAAACTCACTAGCTCCTCCTTGGAAACATACAGGGTTACTATGGGTCAGAACCGACTGGACAGCACTTAACAACAACAACACAATGTAACATCACTTATCCCACGTCCTCCCTGTGTTTCCTGCCTCCAGTCCTCTCTGTTTCCTAACCCTGCTGAACTTGTCCTGGCTTTTTGAACTCAGGTGGTTATTATAGCTCCACAGTGTTGTTCCGATTATAGATCATCATATATTGTACCCCTTATAGAACATATTATTTTCTGAAAATTAAGCCATGGGTGAGTTCAGTTCCAGACTTCAAAGGTGGCAAAGGGCCATAGACTCAGGGGCTCTACCAGTCTTTATCTGACTAGTATGTTTGTCCATTTTTATGGTTTTGAGTAGTTTGTTCCACATTTTTCTTCCACTCTAGCCAGGACTTCTAATGTGATCCCTTCCCGAGCAGTCAGTAGTGGTAGTTCAGACACTCTGTAGTTCTTGTCTCAGGGTGGTGGATGCTGATGTTTGTGGGGGTCATTAGTCCATTGGACTAAGTTTTCTGTGCGTCTTCAATTTTCTTTATTCTTTTTGTCTACGGATGGGCAGATACCAATAGTTGCACCTTTTGCTGGTGACTGTTCACCAGCTTTTAAGACCCCAGTAGCTCCTCACCAGAGTCGAATGTACACCATTGTTTTTGTAGATGATGTCATGCCTGTTGACTTTGGTCCCCCCAAGATCTATGTATGTCTTTTCGTAGCCTAGGTCTAGATGTAAAATTTGCACACTGTGAGCACCTAATGCATTTGTTGGATGGACATTTCATGATGCTACTTTTATTTCCTAGGTGCTGTTGAATTAGAAAACTTGCCACTAAAGAAAGATGCTTTGAAAGAACTGGAGTTACCTTTTGAAGTCAAAGCTGGTATGTGGAACTAAATGAAAGGAATACAGTTTTGAGCTTTATATTGTTTGGGGACTGAAAACTGAGAACCCTTGAGTTTGGCTCTGTTTGACTAAGAAGACAGAGAACAGGAAATGTTAGCGTTTAACTCTGGCATTCATGAATTGTGATCTCTAGGCCACTTCTACAGGTAGTCCCTGACCGGGAATGTAGCATGAACTGTGCTTATGACCATCTGTGTGTTTTTATTTATTTTTAGTACATTTTAGTATTAGTAATTTTACAATGTTAAAACTTATCTTTCAGTTTATATATAATGTTTCCAACACCCCCAAAGATAAATCAAGATTGGATTTAGGAAGATACTACTAATCAAACCCAAAAATTATGAAAAGAAAAACAGGTATTTGACGGATGTCAGAACCGACTTCAGATGGAGTCATTGGTATGATGTCAGAACCCTGCCATAAATCGGGCGCTGCCTCCTCCATTAGGATGACCTTGTGGTGATGATGGGCAAGTCAGGTGGTCCCCAGACCTACTTAATCAGAATCTCTGCATTTTCAATAAGCACTCTTGGTGATTCTTATGCTTATTAAAGTGTGAGCCCCTCTTCAGGATACAGGGTTCCTATTCTCAGAGAGTTCAGTATGGATAATACTGGGAGACAGGCTACTTTATTGACTAAGATGTGGGCACTGGAACAGTCTGCTTGGGTTTATGTCCTAGCAGTGTCATTGTCTAGCTGTGTGATCTTAGATAATTTATCTAACCACTCTGTGTCTGCTTCCTGTTCTTTAAAATGGGGATAATAATAGTACCTACGTCATTCTGTTGTTGAGAGGACTTCATGAGTAAATGTGTACATGTTGAAATTACAATTCCTGGCACACTCAATAGATGTTAAAAGTTAATATAGGAGTTCAGTGGTTACTTGATTGAGTAAGGCAACAAAAACTGTTACAGAACAAAAATATTCACTAATGAACCCACCGATTATAAAATTAGTCCCTATTCAGACACCCCTTCATCATTCAACACTTCCCCTTATGTTGGGTGGTTGTTGTTGTTAGGTGCCATCTAGTCGGTACCGACTCATAGCGACCTTATGCACAGCAGAACGAAACACTGCCTGGTCCTGGGCCAGCCTCACTATTTTGTCATGCTTGAGCCCATTGATGCTGCCACTTTGCCAATTCATCTCGCTGGGGGTACTTATAATAAAATGGAAGTACAATACAAGGCAATTGCTAAATGAAGTAGAATAGAAGTCTTGCAAAAGGATTAGACTTTATTAAAGTTAGTCCAAGTGGTAAGTGAACTGCCAGATTAGCAAATGCACTGACAAAGAAACCCTCCAGAGGTTGGACTATGGAACCTTCCCAAGGATGATTGTGTGCATATTAAAAGAATTAGAGTGGCTCAAGACCAGCGGTTCTAGCCTACCAGTCACTCCTCAGGAGAAAGATGAGGCTTTCTGCTCTTGCAAAGATTTACAACCTGGGAAACCCTATAAAGGATCATCATGAGTTGTAACTGGCTCAGTGACACTTAACAAGAAGGTAGGTTCTTGGAAAAATGATGGTGTTTTCTATTGTTGCAAAAATGACTTTCTGTGCTTATTCCGCAAAGGAAGAGCTACAGAAGTTATCTCAGGGGGCTTCAAAAAGTTTGTGGGAAAGTGGAGTTAAAAGATAATGGGCAAGAATCATTCCCACCCTCTCCACACACAGAGTGGACGGAGATGGGCAACTTGGACATTGGATACTCAAATGGGGAGGGGGGAACTACAAAGGCAAGAAGTGACTGGCTTACAAGCCTTCAAGGGGGAACCTAGTGCTAGGGAGCATGGAGGAAGGCAGAATCTCCAGTGGGTACTATTGAATCTGTCTGGGCAGAGCGGATGAAAGGAAATACAGATGGGTAACTCGCGATACTGTAGTGAAGAATGCTTATCAGGGCGGATTATGAGGGTTGGAAATGCAAAGGTAGGCGATTTGGAACTAGGAAGGGAGTGATTAATTCTACAGGCTAGGAGCGGAGCTATCTGGGACCTTCAATGGAGAAGAGCCGAGAGCGGGACCCTACCCAGAGAAACAGAGGTGCCTGAGATGCAGACAGAGATGATGATGTGGAGCAATGAAGCGGCTGGGGACTTTGGATCCAGAGAGGGAAAGGGACTGTGGACCTAATACTGGGGGGAGGGGGGGAGGGGGAGGGGGAGGGGCGGGTTTCTAGGATATACCCTTTGGCTGGTTGATGATGCATGAAGGGGATTGGAACCGTGGCAATGAGATGATATACGATGGAATGAATGTAAAACTAAAGTTCTCTCATGTAAACTACCATATAATTCACATTAAAACATTAAAAAAAAAAAAAAAAGATAATGGGATTTTTCCACAGATTTTTTGAGGCTGTCTTGTACTATGTGCTTATCTGTAAGAATAGAATACATTCCCCAAGTTAATTTCAGTGAGAGTTATAATGATTCACTTATTCATTGTTAAATTCTTGTGAAAGTTGGTATATGATTTCAGTAGTGATATCTATTAAATAGAAAATTTCATACATTTTACTTTTTTTTTTTTTTTACTTTTATTCAGTGTGTTTTGGATGAAAGTTTACATTAGTTTGCCAATCAATGATGTATTCATGCTGTGTTTGGTGGTATGAATTGCATGCCCCAAAGTGTATCAACATTCTTTCCACTTCCTTCCTGGGTTCCCCTTTTCTATTCATTTCCATTTATTTTCATGGGCCCATCTTTCCTGTCCCTTTCTGCTTTCTGAACTCTGTTTTTGGGAACATGTTGTCCTTTTGGTCTTGAGTGCTTGATTGCTTTAAGGAGTATGTTCCACTTAGGTGGTGTTCACTTTGTAGCCTGGCTATAAGGTATATAAAGTGTATTAAAGGCTACAGTATTATTGTAAGTTACTATCAAAAGAGTACTGATCAAAAAGTAAATTGATAATTATTATCAAGGCAGGAGTTTTGGGCCCATGGATTTGGGCAGATGCAGGTGGGAACAATGATCCACCAAAGAAGTTTAAGAGGTAGTCCACTTGGGAAAGAGAGTTTTCAGAGGATGGAGATTGCACATAATGTGATGAAGACACCCCTCTTCCCCACCTCATACCTCCCCCGAGACCCTTTCCAGCGTTGAGTTCATTCTGCTTTGTTCTGACAGCCTCAATCTTGTTTCACACGTGCAAGACTGCTGGCTATTTTCTTAAATTAAAATATAAATGATAAAATTAAATACCTGCTCCTCAAAACTAGAAAAATAGAAAAAAAGTGGAAAGGAGAAAAAAAACCGAGTACAGGCATTTCACAAAACTTCCCTTCTCCTCATAGGCTTGATTGGCAAAGTTACCCTTCAGATTCCTTTTTATCGCCCCCATGTGGACCCTTGGGTGATCTCCATCTCCAGCCTTCATGTAATCGGAGCCCCTGAAAAAATTCAGGATTTCGACGATGAAAAGGAGAAGCTGTTGGAACGGGAACGCAAAAAAGTACTCCTTCAAGCCCTGGAGGAGAAATGGAAGGCAAGCAGACATTGCTATGAGCAGTTGGAGGTGGGGGTGGGGTGGGGTGACCCTCAGTGAATGAACAAAAGCTTGAGAGTCTGCTAACATGGGTTCTTTCCCTTTTAGAGCGAACGCCAGCAGAAAGGGGAGTCCTACTGGTATTCAGTTACTGCCTCTGTGGTTACCAGAATTGTGGAGAATATCGAAGTAAGTCCTGCTGGTTTTTACAAAGTGTCAACTGGAAAGCGAGCACTCTAGTTTCCAGTGGTTTCACCTCTTAGTTCTTGTTTCTCGTGGTCTTACGGTACTGAGTTTTGCAGGGCTGGCTGCTCAGGTGTGCCCTTTTATAGGCTGTGCCAGAGGGAGAACCTGAAAAGCAAGCTCTCAGCTTTTTTACACTACGGGTTCTTCTTGCTTCAGCTGGTGTGAGTAGGAGTGTTTGCGGCACTTCTGTTTCACTCACTCCACTTTTCTTGTTGAATATTGGAGCCCCACTTGCTGAAAGTTGTACTTACCTCCTAAGAAGCTTTGATATCGGTACCACATCAAGGCAAATCACTCACCTTCTCTGCTCTGTTTCTTCATCTGTAAACTGAGAGGTTTCTAATTGACTGCAGGGTGAATTGAGAACAGCCCACTCAGATAATTAATCTCTCACTCGTGTACCTGGTGATAATTTGTGCATTATAGAACTGGGGCTGTTGGTTATGTTTCCTGCTTCAATTCCAAGTTTGTTTTGCCCTCAAAAACTGAGATCAGGGTCTGTGCTAATTTTTACGAATGCCATGAGAGTTACCCTGTACGTATCACCACCAGAATTTTTGTGTAGTGCCAAGTTGATGCAGGCCAAACTCTTTGACAAGGTATACTGCTCCAGAAATACAGTAGTGGGAGGCTATTGGTTTCATAACTTTGGCCACAAGATTGGTACATTTGATATGACTGCTTTGAATTCTTAGGCAGTTAAAAAAATTGTTATTTTTACTTTGTGTTTAGTTTTTACATTTTCATTGATTTTTGATTCAGCATTCTTATTTTCTAAAGCAGCTTTCTTGAGATATACTTCATATAATATCAAGTTTCACCCTTTTAAAGCATATAATTTAGGTTCTTTTTTGAAAACCAGTGCCATTCAGCATTGGACTGCTAACCACAAGGTCAGCCATTCAAACCTACCAGCCACTCCTTGGGAAGAAAGACGAGGCTTTCTGCTCCTACGAAGAGTTACACAGCCTTAGAAACCCAATCAGGGTCACTATAAGTCTGACTCTACTCAATGGCAGTGAGTGAGTGAGTGATCTAATTTCAGAACATTTTCAGTGCTTCCAGAAGAAACACCACACCCAATTAGTTGTCACTCCCTACTTCTGTCTCTCCCTAGCCCTGAGCAAGCATGACTGTAATCGACTTTCTGTCTCCATGGATTTCCCTGTTCTCGGGGAACAAATGGAATTATACAATATGTAGTCCTTTGACTTCTTTCACTTAGTATAATGTTTTCAAGCTTCATCCATATTATAACTTATGGTTGTGGTGGTCCTGTGCCATGGAACCGGTTCCGACTCATACAGACTCTGTAAAGGGTTTCTGACGCTGTAAATCTTTATGGGAGCAGAAAGCCTTATCTTTCTCCAGTGGAACAGCTGGTAGTTTCGAACTGCTGACCTTGAGGTTCACAGCCTGATTTGTAACCACTACGCTACCAGAGCTCCTTGTTATAACTTAATATCAGTATTTTATTCCTTTTTGTAGCTAAATAAGGTCTCATGGTCTGGATAGACCACATTAATCTTTTGTTACTATGAATTATGCTGCTGTGAGCACTCGTGCCCATGTTATGTGGATACAGATTTCCACTTCTCTTGGGCAGATGCCTAAGAGTAGACCTGCTGTGGGACCACTGTGTTTGGCCTTTTGAGGAACTACCAGAAAGTTTTCTAAAGTGACTTCACTGTTTCCCATTTTCACCAAGAGGGTGTGAAGGCTGCAGTTTCCTCACAACCTTGCCAACACTTGTTATTGTCTGTCTTGAATATAAATATCCAGGTGGCACTATAGGATAAGCACTGCACCTCAAGGTGGATTTGAACGTCCAGTTAGGCTGTTCACAGTCACCAGCTGCTCTTCAGAAACACTATACATGTTTGGAACCGACTCCAAGGCACTTAACAACCACAGCAGTGAGGGAGTGCTCGTGTAGTGTTGTAGAAAAAGCACTGGACTGTTAACTGAAAGGTTGTAGGTTCGAGTCCACCAGCTACTCCTTGGGAACCCTATACAGGGTTGCTATGAGTCTGAACCTATTCAGAGACACTTAACAACAACAGTGGGTGTGAAGTGCTGGCTCATTGTGGTGTTGATTTGAATTTCCATAAAATCTAATGATGTTGAGCAGCTTTCCATATATAGTGTTGTTTTTTTTTTGTTTTTTTTTTTTTTTTTGCCTTTTCTGTATCTTCTTTGGAGAAATGTCTGTCCAAATCCTATGCTTAATTTTTAATTGGTTATTTGTCTTTTTATTTTAGAGTTAAATGAAATCTTTGTATATACTAGTCTCTTATCAGATCTATGATTTGCAAATTCCTTCTCCCATTCTGTGGGTTGTCGTTTCATTTTCTTTGATTATTTTTTAATTAATTAAAGCAAGGGGAAGGGAAAAATACATACATGCAAACTTACATAGTTACATAATTTACATGTCCTGTTGGTAATGCTGAGGCATAGATTTATCATAATGTTATCTGGATATAACATTATGTCTTGCTTTAAGTGTTTCTTTAAGATATCTTGTACAGTGACTTAGTGCTAATCTTAAAGCAACATCATTCATCCCCTCTCTGGATTGTTGCTCTTTTAGAAACTCATAGAGTGTTGGACATGTGTGTCTTGTAAGTGCTCATATAAAGTACATGTTGTGGTTTACTTTTGTGGCTCACGGGCAGTGTGACCCTCGTCTGTCATGTTTTACGTGCAGCAGTTACCTACATGGTTTTTTGTTTTTCTTTGCTTTGCAGTTGAAAATTCAAGATGTCCATTTGCGTTTTGAAGATGGTGTTACCAATCCTTCTCACCCCTTTGCCTTTGGCATCTGCATTAAGAATGTGTCCATGCAAAATGCTGTGAATGAGCCTGTGAGTATGTACTTGGCTGCAGGCCAGGAAGAACACAGCGGGACTAGACAGGCTGGGGCCCTGCTGATTGTCATTTGGTGGTGTGTTTATGAGGCTGCCTTCTTTCCCATCGTGCCCTATGGTGGGTGTGCCTGTCACTGTCTGTATAAAGCAAATCTAATTGGCCCAAGTAGTGAAACAGTTAATTATCTTCTACCTCTGCTTATCTCACCCTCCCAGTCTTTTTCATTTTATACATGAAGAAACTGAGGCACAGAGTGGATCTCGTCCTTGAGTTTCTTGCCAGACTGTGTGCACCTGGGCAGACTCGTGCTATGGTGTCGCTTTAGCTACTGCCTTGGAATATTTGCTGGCTCCCAAATCCTGAGCTGACTTTCACATTCATGGTTTTTTTTAAAGCTGATTATGGGATTATGGGGCATCTCTGGGTTGCCATAACCAAAGTGATTGTATTCTATCCCGTCTGCCCATTTTGCTCTCTTGAAACAGATTTTTCTTTTATTCTAGTATCATACTGAATGGCAAACACTTAAAGCAAACAAAAACTAACATCGTTGGAGCCCTTTTATGTGCCGTCACTGTTCTCAGTTCTTTATGTGCTTGAACTCACTTCATTCTCAGCTCTCATAAATGAGAATGATAGCATGCAGAGAGATGATGTTAGGTGTGAACAGACATGGACCAGCTCTAGAGCAGGGATCGGCACATCTGGTCCTCTATCATCCCTCCCGCTCACTCCACCCTACCCGCGTCCAGGCTGTTTTCTAATTACAGGTGTTTTGAATTACAGCCATGCCTGTTGGTTTATTTCTTGTCTTTTGTGCTACAATGAGATGGGTGATTATAACAGAGATTGGATATTCCTGCAAAGCCTCATATATTTATTCTCTGACCCTTGATAGGTAAAATTTGCCAGCCTTGCCCCAGAGTTTAACTTTCCACTCCAAATATGTATGCATCCAAATGTGTCTAGATGTTGGTGTGGCATTGTAGAATCAGCATTGTAGGATTAGCACTGGGCTACTAACCACATGGTTTGCGGTTCATACCCACTGGTCACTCCTTGGAAACCCTATGCAGGGTCTCTGTGAGTCAGAACTGACTGCCTGGCACATAATAGCAACAACAAATATGCATATATTTAAATATGTATACATATGTATACATTTAAATATGTATACATTCAAATATGCCTAACAATCCCCCAATACTACCCAGGCCACCCCCATGCCTACACACAGTGTCCCAGGTGCACAGTGTTCTTATCTCTACACTGATGCCTAGAAGCCTTGGGCTCATCCTTTCACTTTTACTCCTCAGCTTCTTTATCCATTTGGCCACAGTAACCTGTGAGTTTTTTCTCTGTAAAATGTCTCAGTTGAGGCTTCTCTTTTCCCTCCTCACTGTGACTATCTTTGGTATCCTGTCTGCTTTTGCTTGGGCTGATCAGATATTCTAGTCTTTGACTTCCCATCCCTGGGTCTTGATTTATACCAGTGCTTCCCAACCCTTTCCCTAGTATCTATACAGCATACAAGGATCAATGGAAGGGACTGCGTAGAGCTCACTTGGGAACCAAATCTTTCCGATTATAACTCGATCCTATAAACTTGATCAGGATCTTGACATGCATTACTCATTTTTCTCTTGACGCACTGGATGCGGGAGGGGAAGCTCTGCTGTGCACTGGTTTCAGAATCCTAAGACATGTGCTGGATCCTGGTGTATGCCTACATCAAAACCTTCCGTGGTTCCTTGGAACTTAAGATATGAAGCCCAAACTCCTTATGCATGTCCATTCCTAGTAACATTCCAAGCTGCTTTGTTTAATGCTTTGGCTAACTGTCTGCTTCAAATATGTATACATACACATGTACCAGTTTAACTCCTGCCCCCCCTCCCCCAAGCCATAGGCACACTGTTTCAATTGTTCAGACGAATTCATCACCCCCGAAGATGGTAGGCCTTACTCTTGGGAATTCTGCTCCTATTCTTCCTCCCACCTGGTCTGAAATTTACATCTTTTGCCACTCATCTGCACAGGGACATTTTCTCTTTTGCTTGCTCATAGTGTTATGAGTATTTTTTCCCTGCTTCCCTCTGCTTAATTAAAATGTTATGTTTGCGTGTTTATATACCCTGCCAACTAGATTTTGAACTCCATAAGAACAAAGCTGTATTTTAATTCAATTTTGTATTCCTAGCATTTTGCAAAGGGTCTGGTACATGATTCTGCACCAAAGATCTGTTGAATGCATAAATAAATTGGTGAATAAAGAGAGTCACCCTATTTTCTTCCTGTCTCTCCCCCCCCCACCCCAGGTACAGAAATTAATGCGGAAAAAGCAATTAGATGTGGCCGAGTTTAGCATCTATTGGGATGTGGATTGCACTTTACTGGGGGACTTGCCTCATGGGGAGTTACAGGTATGACTCTGGCCAAGGGCGTTACTGTGGTGCAGCTTTGAAGTAAAATGGTGCCTTGTAGGTTTTGTTCTTTAGATCTCTGAATCCCATTCCCATACCCATCTTTCTCCATGGGTGTCCACCCTCTGGCCTGTTTGCTGGAGATACTTGCTGTAAGTATGTAAATTTGAACAATAGATAGTGTTTAGCTTCTTGCATGTTTTAAATTTATATTGTGTTATAGATTTCTTTTTTTTTCACTCCCACTTAAAGTTTTATTTTTAAGATGATCAGTATTACAGTTTGTGCTTTGAGTTCACTGCTTCTGACGACATAGAATAGCAGCTGACATAGTATAGTGATTCACTTTCATAGCCACCATGTATTAAACATCCAGATTTTAAATGCATAAAGCATCAGATCTGATTTTTAAAGAGCTTTCTTATTATGCTCTGTTCAAACCTCACCTTTGGTGGAATTAGTCATTATAAGGCAACAAACAGAAAACAAACAATCTCAGTCTAACATCTAACTTTATAAAGAAATTGGTTGTTGTGGTTGTTAAGTGCCGTAGAGTCGGGTCCGACCCAGTGAGATGGGAAAAAGGGCTCCCTTTTTCCCCATGTGGGTTAGCTTTGGCTTCTCTGTTTGTACAGAATATGGTTTTTGGTTATTTCATTAAATAAATACTGTATGGACTACAAGATGAGTTTGAATTGGAAGACTGGGGGTTCAAACTCACGAGCCGCTCCTTGGAAACACTATCCAACTATGAGTTGGAATCGACTTAATAGCACTTAACAACAATAACAATTCATACAGCAGAACCGTGTGCACCTATAAAAAAGAAAGACCTGTATGGTGGACATTAAAGTCTCTCACCTTGGCTCCATACAATAAGCGCTGAACTGCGAACCACAAGGTCCGCAGTTTGAGCCCGCCAGCCACTCCTCTGAAGTAAGATGAGCTTTCTGCTCCTGCGAAGATTTAAAGCCTTGGGAACCCTATACAGGGTCGCTGTGAGGTGGAACTGGCATGAAGGCACTTAATAATAACAAGATATGTTACTAAGTTTAAAACTCTAAGACAAAGTAGCATATGTACTGTTTATGTAAGAATGGTTAAACTAACCAGGAAATTAGGAATTTGTCTGAGTATGCACAGACTACTTCTGGAGGGGGATGCATAGTAAGCAAGTAGCTGCTATTATGGTATCCAGGTGGGAAGGGGCTGGGAATAGGAAAGACATATTTCACTGTTTTTGCCATTTGAATTTTAAACCACGTGAATGTATAACTTATTCAGAGATCTAAATCAGGTTTAAAATGCTAGGAGTCCTGCTGTGACTGATGGTATAGGATAAGCACTATACTGCTAACTGTGCATGGTCGGTGGCTCAGACTCACCAGCCACTGCTCAGTCAAAAAAAATTGACTCGATGACACTTAACGATAGCAGAGAGCTTTCGATTCTACAGTTTCATGCTCCTTTTGGATTCTCAGGTGATTTACTGCCAATTCAATAACACCACCATGTAACTTGACCCTAGAGACACTTGCTGTAACTGCACCCTATAGCTGAACTTGACCCATCTTGTCATTACCCCCTTCCCCATCCCATTATAAAAGCATGACTACTAAAAGGAAAGACGGTTTGAACAGAGAGGTTTGCTTGTGTGACACGCAGGAGGCAATGGGCAGGAGCATGGAGAGCCGCAATCATCACTACATCTTGGAGCCTGTGTGTGCGTCCGCTCTTTTGAAGAGAAACTGCTCTAAGGAGCCTCTGAGGTCTCGGCATTGTCCCCGTATCGAGTGTGATATCCAGCTGGAGACCATTCCTTTGAAACTCTCTCAGGTACACTCAGTCTTCCCAGGGCTTGGCATTTTCACTGTCAGGGAACTAGTGGGGGAGGAAAATGCTGATAAAAGGCATCGGTATCTAACAGTATTCTTAGGAAAGAAAGTATGCTTGAGACCATTCTTCCCCGCCAGCTGTTAGGTGCCCAAACTGCTATCGGTTATAAAGTTAAGTTGGGTAGATCTCAGATTCGTTCTGGTTTGATGTTTTTAACTGCTGAACAGAGTACAAGAGCTACAGTAAACATAGACACTTAGCAATCTGTGGTCAGAGAGAAATGCCATTTGATGCTAACAGTTTGCTCTCTCACTTTACACTAAGTGTTAGGTCAGGGGACTGATGAATGTGAATTGCTCTTATTAGATAATTTGGTCTTAACAGAGTAAAAGAAACAAATCAATTCTAACTAGACTCTCTTAACCTCTAATAAAAAGCTGCAATACCGGCAAATCATGGGATTCCTCAAGGAGCTGGAACGAAAGGAGAGGCAGGTGAAGTTCCGAAAATGGAAACCCAAAGTGGCAGTATCTGAGAAGTAAGAGCTTACAATTAAGTGTGTATGTGAAATGCATTGAATAACATGCGCCCTTGTTTTTTGAATGAAGATCAGAAGTGTATCTCACCATCCTTGGTACATAGTTGGAGGTGAAAGTACAGTTGAGTTTTCTGGCCTCTTGTCATTGTTAATGTTCTTGTCTATTAATTTGGAGTTGCAGGTTTATTCTTAGATTGCATGTAGTGGAATGAAGGTCTTCTCAGCTTCCTCAGTAAGTATGCTGATTTTGCTCTGGTGAGATCTGCTTGAGGTGGTTAATGCTTGGCAGCTCTCTTTGAAGCTACTTCCCTGTGACTTTTCTCCCAGGTTATTTTGCTCAACTATTTACCTAGTAAGCTTTCTAACTTTGATTTTTAAAAAAAACCCCACTGAAGTAATTCTGACTCAGTAGAACTGGCCTATAGGGTTTCAAGGCTGTATATCTTTATGGAAGTAGACTGCCACATCTTTCTCCTTTGGAGTAGCGGGTGGGTTCAAAGTCCCGACCTTTTGGCTACTAGCCGGTGGCCTTAATCACTGAGCCACCAGGGCTCCTCTAACTTCCATAGCAAAAATTAAAATTCCTGTTTCAGTGATAAACTTGACTGCTGATATAGTAAACATTTTGAAGGTTTTATTGATTTCTATTTCCTTTCTTAGTATTCCACTTGAAATCTTTATTAATGAAATCCTTGGTAGGTATCTTAAGATGGTTGTTGTTATAAGTGTCATAGAGTCCGTTCCGACTCATCGGAGCCCCGTATAAGGTTTCTGAGGAGTGGCTAGTGGGTTTGAACCACCGACCTTTTGGTTGGCAGTCCAGTGCTGATCCTACAGCGCCACCCCAGGACTCCCTTAATGTGGTACTTTATAATTCTCACCTAATTTTTTGTGTGAGTGGAAGGGAGTGATATTGTGGGTAATTCAAACCAGCTGAGCACTATATTGTGGTGGTGATGGCTGTGTGCCGTGGAGTCGGTTCCGACTCATAGCGACCCTGTACAGAGTTTCCAAGGCCGTAAATCTTTACAGGAGCAGAAAGCCTTTTCTTTCTCCCGCGGAACAGCTTGTAGTTTTGAACTGCTGACCTTAAGTTTCGCAGGCCGATTCGTATCCACTACGCTACCAGAGCTCTTAGACATGAAAATGTGGGCTCTGTTATTTGGTGCTGTTTGGCAGCAGGTGTACTTTCCTTAGACGCATAGATTGAGATTTGCCTAGTGTTAAGATAAACCTGGATTATAATCTGATGGCTGACTAGAGAAAAGATGTCTCAGAAGAGAAGTTGGGTGTTACCTGGCTTATTCTGGAGTGATAGCCATTTATTGCTCTATTTTAAGAAATAACTCCTTTGTTCTGAAATATTTCAGCTGCCGAGAATGGTGGTATTTTGCTTTGAATGCAAATTTACATGCGATCAGAGAGCAGAGGAGATGTTGTACATGGGATTTCCTGTTGCATCGTGCCCGTGATGCTGTATCTTACACTGACAAATATTTCAACAAGTTAAAAGGAGCCTTGCTGTCTGCTGATGACAAGGTGAGTGGACTAGGACCATCTCACTGGCCCCAGAGGACAGGTGGTTTCATGTTTGGACTGTTGACTTGTTTCTAGTCTTTATTCAGAGGCTAAAGCTGTTCTCTTAAAGGCTGAAGAAACTGGAATCTGCGGAAAAATCAAGTCCCTTGCTAAGAAGCATCATTTTACAGCACAGAGTTGGTCTCACCAGGGTCAGAATTTCTCTTGAGAGGCCACTAGCCTCACTGTGGCCCAAGTGTCCTCCTCCCTCTGCTGCCTGACGAGAGAGAACTTGACCACGGGGTGGGATGGCCATGGTCCTGCTGTGCTCTCACCCCTAGCTCTCTGTGCAGGGTCCCTGGAAAGACTTTCCTTGTGTTTACTTGTGTCTTTTCAAAGTCTGGGCCTACTTGTAATTCTTTTCCTGCACATTCACAAATGGGTCTCTCCAGACTTTGGTCTGTGTTTTCCCTAGGCCAGTTGCTGTTATTAACTTGGCATTCCTTTGGCAGTACAGGCTAGACAAAGGGTGTGGTGAGGGCAGGCCCATGCTTTAGTGGACTGGAGGGCCATAGGGGGTCTGGCAGGGGACTCCGCTGCTCCTCTAATCTGCTCTCTCCTCAGGGAAGGCAGTAGGGATTGCTTTGCTCCTGGCTCTGATTCGGTTTTCTGAGCATTAATTTCTTGCACAAGCAATCCAGGCTGATTCTATTTAAAATTTTCGCTCAAGTGCTTCTCTTAATTAGCCACTTCTTTAGTGTTAGGGTTGTAGAAAACAGCACTAAACCCTTCATGCTCCTTTGCTGTTAGCAGCTCTGTGCTCTCGGGTTCCCCGCCTCTCTTCACCGGCGGCATGCGCGGCATGCACTCCTGCTGCCCTCAGCCCTGTGAGGGATGCCCTGCTGCTGCAGAGTCCGCTCCCACTCCTAGCTGCCACAGCTGGCACAGTAGAGCTGCCCCATAGGTTCTCAAGGCTGTGTTCTTGACAGGAGTGGATCGCCACATCTCTCCCACAGATGGCTGACCTCCAGCTGCCCACCTTTCGATTAGCAGTGCTTAACCATCGTGCCACCGGGGTTTCTAAGCGTGAGGCATAAGACCAAGGCCCACTGCTGTCGAGTGGAGTCCAACCCAGAGCCACCCTACAGGACAGAGTAGAACTGCTCCATAGGGCATCCAAGGTTGTCAGTCGGTGTGAAAGCACATTGGCACAGCTTTCCCCTGCAGAGCAGTTGGTGGGTTTGAACTGCCCACCTTTTGATTAGCAACTGAGAACTGTAACTGCTATGTTGTGTTGTTAAGTGCTGTCGAGTCGGTTCTGACTCATGGTGACCCTATATAGGGTTTTTGAGGAGCAGCTGGTGGGTTTGAACTGTTGACATTATGGTTCACAGTCCAGTGCTGATCCTACAGCGCCACACCAGGAGATCTGCTCCATGGGAACCTTGTTAATAGGAGCTGCATTAAAAGGATCATTTGGTTCTGGATGACTTTCTCAAAGACACAGGTAGGAGAGGGAAAGAGAAATCTAAATTATAACTCTGGTCATCAGGTAAGCACATACTATTTTCTTTTCCTTAGAATATGAACAACAGTGTGTGATAGCCAATTCTTTTTTTTCTTTACGTGTAGCTTGCTACCATGGTTCCCTCCTAACTAGCATGTGACAAATTATAATGATCCTGTCTTTGTTAATGTCCTATACAAACTAGAAAGGGGCTGTGAGCCTCAGTGTCCCCATTTGAAAGAGGAAACAGTAATCCCAAGTGGACCTGCTTTGACCATTTGAAGTAATGCATATGGAAGTACTTGGTAAGCTCTCAGTGCTATAGAACGTGGACAGCAGTGCTGACACTTGAGGGGTAACCATTTAAAATGAATGAGTTCCCTTTGCTCTGTCTCTACCGTTAGTCCAGATTCCAATTAAACTCTGTTGGAATCTGGGAAAAGCTGCTTTAACCAGAAACACAACAGTCAGGTTTGGAACTGCTTATCTTCATTATTAAAGAGCTCTGGTAGCGTAGTGGTTACGAATCGGGCTGCTAACCTGAAGGTCGGCATTTCGAAACTACCAGCTGTTCTGTGGGAGAAAGATGAAGCTTTCTGCTCCCGTAAAGATTTACAGCCTCGGAAACCCTGCACAGAGTCACTATGATTTGGAACCAGCTCCACGGTACTCAACAACAACAACAACATCTTCATTATTAAGTCATTGTTAGAAGTGTTGGGGATGAGATAGAGTCTTCAGCTAGTCTTGTGGTAGTGTGTGTTGGTGTTCATTGTTTCTGGGGCTACAGTACCTGCCCCTTGCTCATTGTTTTTTCATTCCATCCAAATAGGAGGAGATGTGTCGGATTGAAGAGGAACAGAGCTTTGAGGAACTGAAGATTTTGCGCGAGCTGGTTCATGAACGATTTCATAAACAAGAAGAGCTGGCAGAGGTAAGAAATCTTCTCTTGGAAGATTTATTCCAACTCCGCTCCCTCTGAGTGCTCCAGCTTTCACGTGTGTGCGTCTTGTGGGACAGACAACACTCACTGGCCCGTGGCAGCTGCTTTGTGTATCCCAGTGCTCACATTTGCTGATTTTTGTTGACACAGAGTCTACGAGAGCCTCAATTTGATTCTCCGGGAGACTCTCCTGGAGACCCAGAGACCAGTGGTAGCAGTGGGATGCTGCAGTATCTTCAGTCCTGGTTTCCTGGCTGGGGTGGCTGGTATGGACAGCAGACCCCTGAAGGGAAACCAGTGGAAGGCCTGTCAGCAGAGCAGCAGGAGCAGTGGATTCCTGAGGAGATTCTGGGTAAGTGGCCTTCACTTTCCTCTTTGACCATAGAGAAGGGAGACAGTTCAAAGAAGTTGGTCTGTTATTGTGCAAAAATAAAACATTTGGGAAGCAGTTTGCCTCATATTCATAGGGAATAAGAGGCAGAGAAAGGAAATGTTTTGAGAGATGTCTGTTAGTAAATTATCAACATCAGGACAGTGTTAGATGGATTTGAGTGGCAGCTGTTGTAAGAGAGATACATTTGAGCAGGTTCAAAAATGTTAAACTCTGATACTTGAATCCCACCCAGTCCAGCATGGTAGCTGTAGCCTCAAGTGGGGACTTTAGTTTAAATGACTTAAAATTAAATGGACATGTCAGCTCCTCAGCTGCACTAGCCACATGACAAGTGCTCAGTAGCCACAGATGACCACTGAACTGGACAGGGCAGAGAGAACATTTCAGTGTATTGGACAGTGCTGCTTTATACTGGACTTTCTCTTGAAGCTTAACATTTTTTCTGGTGTGATAATAAATTGATAAGAGCCTTGAGAAACCAGTTGTGACTGTTTTATATTAATGAATGAAACATCACCCCTGTCTTTGGGGGTCCTCCCTAAGAATATGGAAAACCAGGTCCAGACTGTCATCAGTGTGCCCCATTTGCTTTACTTTTTCCTCCCCTCTTTTTTCTTAAATCTCTTCTCCCTCTCCACCTAGGCACCGATGAGTTTTTTGATCCCACCGCAGATGCCTCTTGTATGAACACCTACACGAAGCGAGATCACATCTTTGCCAAACTGAACGTGCAGCTGCAGCGTGGCACAGTGACGCTGCTACACAAGGAGCAGGGGACGCCTCAAAGGAACGAAAGTGCTTTCATGCAACTCGAGTTCTCAGGTGCGGCCTGCTGGCACATACCCTTCTAGGAGCTGATGAATTTGACTCCTGTTTTATGACTCTGAATTGCAAGTGTATATAAAGAAATGCCCAAGGCACCCTGGTACCCAGTGGATTAAACGTTGGCCTGCTAGCAGCAAGGTCAGTGGATTGAACCCACCAGCCACTCTGTGGGCGAAAGATGAGGTTGTCTGCTCCCGTAAATATGGACAGTCTTGGAAACCCTAGGGAGCAGTTCTCCTCTGTCCTGTAGGGTCTCTGTGGGTCAGAATTGACCTGACAACAGAGATGAAATAAATGCCCAATGCTTTTTTTTTGATATCGTACAGATACCTTTATTCCAGTCCATCAAGTAGTCATTTCTCTGAGGTGTCTTAGTCATTTAAGAAGGGCAAATAGCAAAGAAGAAAGAAAGGAAGGAAGGAAGATCTCTTTAAAGACTGAAATATAAATTTTGTGTACCTTAACAGATGACTTGAGCATGATTTTAAACTGGTCTGTTTAAAGTTTGTTCTGCTTGGGAAACTTCTAATATTTTTTATATATTAATATAGTTGCAAGGTTTTGTTTGATTTTCTTCTTTTGGTTTTAATTTCAAGAAAAAAATGGTTCATGATCTCTAATGTTGTTATTGTTGTTAATAATAAATTGCTGTTGAGTCAATTTAGACTCATAGCGACCCTGTGTAGGGTTTCTGAGGAGCGGCTGGTGGGTGTGAACCTTGCAGTTAGTTATCCAGTGCTAATTAATCCTCCAGCTCCACACAGGAACACTCCATGGTCTCTCATAGTCAGTAAAATGTTCTCTCTAATACGTTTTGAACGTTGTAGGTGCTCATGACATACCGTTAGCTCTTATGTTTATCTTTTGCAGATGTGAAACTTTTAGCAGAATCTCTTCCTCGAAGACATTCCTCCTTGCTCTTAGTCCGGTTGGGTGGACTGTTCCTTCGAGACCTGGCAACTGAAGGGACTATGTTTCCCCTTCTTGTCTTCCCTAATCCGGTGAGTACAACAGTTCATGCGTCTTGGGTGTTGGTGAAACTCTGTCTTGTTCAGGCAGACAATAGATAATATTAGCTTGGTTCTTTCTGACTTTTGGCCCTCTTGGGACAGCTTGGCTGATTAAAAACAAATTGGGGTTAGATAACTTCTTTGCATTTATTAGAAGGCAAATGTGGGTCAGATTATGGCTTTGCCTTTCTCCCCTTCTGTGTTGTAGCCACTATGAGATGCTTAAGTCACTGTGGATGGAAACACCATAAACACCTCTATTTTTTTGTGCTTTGAGGTCAATGTTTCAATTTCCTCTGTAATAAATAGTTTTGTTCTTAGTCACTGATGAGAAGTTTTATCTTTGCGGAACTCCGAAAATTAACCATTTCAAGCTTTCTGTATACACATAGTTTAAAAATATATGTAACATAACTTATTACTTCCACCATTCATCTGTCAATTTCCCATACTGGGGTGGCTTGTGGGTTGCTGTGACTCTGGAAGCTATGGCACCAGTATTTTAAATACCAGCAGGGTCACCCACGGTAGACAGGTTTCAGCTGAGCTTCCAGACTAAGACAGACTAGAAAGAAGGAGAGACGGACTACTTCCGAATATTCAGTCACTGAAAACCTTACGAATAGCAGTGGAATACTGTCAGAAAGCACCAAAATAGTCAATATTGAAACATGATGAAGAGCACCAGAATATTGTCAGATACAGTGTTGGAAGACAAACCCCTCAGGTTGGAAGGCACTCAAATGCTACTGGGGATGAGCTGCCTTCTCAAAATAGAGTTGACTTTGATGACACGAATGGAGTAAAACTTTCAGGACCTTCATTTACTGATGGGGCACACTCAGAAAGAGAAGAAACAGCTGTAAACATCCATTTAACAATCATCGACTATGGAATGTATGAAGTATGAATTTAGGAAAATTAGACGTTGTCAAAAATGAAATGGCACATATAAACATCGATATCCTAAGTATTAGTGAGCTGAAAAATGACTGATATTGGCCGTTTTGAATCTGACAATCACATGGTTTACTATCCTGGGAATAACAAATTGAAGAAGAATGGCGTCATATTTATCACCAAAAAAAAAATATTTCAAGATCTATCTTGAAGCATAACGCTGTCTGTGATAGGATAATAAGATCTGTATGCCTATAAGGAAGACCAGTTAATACAACTATTATTCAGAGTTACCCACCAACCACAAAGGCCAGTGATGATGAAATGAGAGAATTCTACCAACTTCTTCGTTCTGAAACTGATCAAACATGCACTCAAGATGTATTAAAAATTACTGGCTATTGGAATGCAAACATTGGAAACAAAGAGGATGAATTAGTCGCTGGAAAATATGGCGTTAGTAGAAATGACGCAGGAGATTGCATGGTAGAATTTTGCAAGACCAATGACTTCTTCATTGCAAATACCTTTTTTAAACAACATAAAAGATGACTATACACATGAACCTCACCAGATGGAATACACAGAAATCAGATTGACCTACCTCTGTGGAAAGAGATTGTGGAAAAGTTCCATATCATCAGCTAAAACATGACTGTGGCAGACTGTGGAACAGACCATCAATTACTCATTTGCAACAGGCTGAAGCTGAAGAAAATTAAAACAAGCCCACAAGTGTGAAAATATGACCATGAACTGAATTTAGAGATCATTTCAAGAACAGATTTGATGAGTTAGACACTAATGACCAAAAACAAGAAGAGTTGTGTGACATCAGAAACATACACAAAGAAAAAAAAAGGTAATTAAGAAAACAAGAAAGAAGGATGTTTGAAGAGACTCCGAAACTTGCTCCCCAGCATAGCGATGCTAAAACAAATGGAAGAAATGAGGAACTCTTTTAGCTGAACAGAAAATTTCAAAGGGCTGCGTGACAAGACAAAACATAAAGACTTGGGGTTAGAAGACCAAAAGGGAAGAACACACTTAGCATTTCTCAAGTTGAAAGGACTGAAGAAAGAATTCAAGCCTCAACTTGCAATATTATAGGGTTCTATTGGTAAAACATTGAATGATGCAGGAAGCATCAAAATTACATGGAGGAAATACACAGAGTCACTGTGCCAAAAAGAAATGGTCGGTGTTCAACCATTTCAAGAGGTAGTATATGATCAAGAGCTCTTGGTACTGCAGGAAGAAGCCCAAGGTGCACTGAAGGCTTTGGCAATGAAAAAGACTCCGGGAATTGATGGAATACAAATTGAAATCTGGAAGCACTCACACGTCTATGCCAAGAAAGTTGGAAGACAGCTACCTGGTGAAAAGATTGGAAGAAATCATATTTGTGCCCATTCCAAAGAGAAGTGACCCAATGGAATGTGGAAATCATTGGAAAGTATCATTAATATCACATGCAAGTAAAATTTTGCTAAAGGTAATTAAAAAACAGCTGCAATGGTACATTGACAGGGAACTGCCGGAAGTTCAAACCAGATTCAGATAAGGAACAAGGGACATCATTGCTGATGTCAGGTGGACCCTGGCAAGGTTATGATCATAATAGTTGAATATTTAACCACTTTGTTCACAATTTTCTGGTGGGGTGAGGAGGCGGTTGGGTGGTTATGCAGAAGGTAGATAGAGTTAAATGTTGAAAAGCTATGCATGTATAATACTCATTTAGCAGAAGTTTGTTGTTAAGTGCCAATGAGTCAGTTCCGACTCACAGTGACCCTGGATAGAGTTTCAGAGGAGCAGCTGATGGGTTTGAACTGTTGACCTTATGCTTCACAGTGTAGTGCTGATCCTCCAGCGCCACACCAGGAGTCAAAAGGTAGAAAGAGTTGAAGTGTGACATGCTGTGCATGTATCATATTCATTTATTAATCGCTTAGTTATTAAATGGGCCGAGTGCAGCAAAGCATAATGTCAGTGCACAAGAAAAGATGTGGTATGACTGCAGTGGACTGTGGCCAAGTCCTAAGGCACCCGAGGTGAGCTGTGTTTGGGTTGGAAGTTGCTGACCACTCCTGGCCATCTCGCTCACACAATGCATTCTGTGTGTATCCAACAGCAGAAAGAAGTTGGCAGAGTCTCACAGTCTTTTGGTCTCCAGACAACATCTTCAGACAGAAGCGATCATGACCCTGGTAATTTGTCATTTGTTGCTGTTGTTAAGTCCTGTTGGGTTAATTTTGACTGATAGCGACCCCTTGTGTCAGAGTAGAACTGTCCCATAAGGTTTTCTGGCCTGTAATCTTTATGGGAACTGATTATTAGGTTTTTCTCCTGTGGAGCTGCTGGGGGTGAGTTTGAACCCACAACCTTTCATTTAACAGCTGGGCACTTAACTCTTGTGCTGCCATGGCTACTTCTTGATTTGTCATTTGTTCTTAAAACAAATCCTTAAAAATATTATTGTTACAGATCAATAGTCTTGGATAAGTATGGTGGTGGTGGTGGTTATGTGCTGTGGAGTCGGTTCTGACTCATAGCGATCCTGTATCGGGTTTCCGAGGCTGTAGATCTTTACGGGAGCAGAAAGCCTCATCTTTCTTCCGCAGAACAGCTGGTAGTTTCAAACTACTGACCTTGCAGTTCGCAGCCCGATTTGTAACCACTACACTACCAGAATAAGTCTGTTGTTATTGTTGTGAAGTGCTGTCGAGTCAGTGCCGACCCATAGCGACCCTGTATAGGGTTTCCAAGGAGCAGCTGGTAAGCTTGAACCGCCGACCTTGCAGTTCAAACGGCTTTGCAGTCTGACGCAGTAACCCACAGTGCCACAGTATAGTAAAACCTAAGAAACCAGAACCTATGTAAGGCAGAAACCTATCAGAGATGGAACACTGGAATATTTTGAGCTCAATGAGTGATAGAAAAACTAGATGGTACCTGGCTACCACACCACTACTGATGATTCTGAAAGGAATCCTAATAGAAGGTCCTGGATAAAGTGGGAGAAAAGTGTAAACCAAAACTCAAAATCATAAAAAAGACTTGGTTTCTGGTCAGACAGAGACTGGCGGAACTGCTGAGACAGTGGCCCTTAGGCACCCTTCAGACCTGAAACTGAAGTCACCTCTGTAGCTCAGCTTTTGGCCAAACAATAGGCAGGCCTCTAAGGTGAACAATTGCACCAGGAGGTATTCACGCCAAGCTAAAACAAATGAATAAAATGAGCAATGCAAAAGTGGCAAGACCCTGCTAACGTGGGATATGTGTGAGACCTGGAAATCAAGGCAATTCCTATTGAGCTCTGGGTCTCCCAGGTCTTCTGTATAAACAGAGCGTGCTTCCACGCTGTGAGTCCTCACGTAACCTGGTGTGCTCTTAGTTGAGTTGTTTGTTGTTGTACCTGGGTGTGACTGGGTGCTCAGATTCATAGGGCCTCTGGATCCTTGCTTACTGTATTGGAAACAGTGACACCATTTCAAGTTTTAGGATTCATGTTGAATACCGAAGAGTCAGCCTGTATTATATAAAATGTGCATACATGGGAATGAATTGGAAACTAATTTAGATAATGTCTTATTTCTTAGATTTATTTCCTCACAGGTCTAGTAGAATAAGGTGACTGATTTTTCTCTGTTCTGTTTTCTTTCTCTGTTCTCTCCTTTAGTTGCTGATTGGAATGACCCAGTTTTTGAGATGCTATATGAGAGGAACCCAGCGCACAGTCATTTTGAGAGGCGCCTGAATGTCAGCACGAGGCCCTTGAACATCATCTATAACCCCCAGGCTATTAAAAAAGTCGTTGACTTTTTCTATAAGGGAAAGGTTCATACCTCAGGTTAACTTTTTGTTTATTTACTCTGTTACCTCTAAAAACTTCATTTTTGTCATTTCCAGGTCATCCTAACATAATAATCCTGACAGCTACCTTAATGTAATGTAATGTTGAAAGGGCCTACAGGGTATGTGGGTAGGGTTTTCATTAGCTGTTACATTAAGGTGGCTGTCATTGTCAATCATTTCTCCAAGAGGATCAATATCTTTAAATATTTTCTTTCCTCTCATTAGCACACCTTTTCAAAGACTTACTATTCCATTCATCGAATTGCTTTGGAGTCGATTCCAATACTTGATGTCTTCATGTTTATCAGAGTCTAGAACTATGTTCTAGGATTTTCAGTGGCTGATTTTTCCAGAAGTAGGTGGCCCTGGATTGACTCAGACTCCCAGCCTTTCTGGTAGCAGCTGGAACTAGCCCAGGGCCTCTCCCCTGACTTCTTCAGCTCCCCAACATATTTTAGACCAGTGACCTTAGGAGGAATGTTCGAGAGTTGCTTTCTCAATGGTCTGTTTTGCATTCTTGGTGAAGCATCAATACCACAAGGCTACCGGTATCATTTATGCCTTCCTGTGTTCCCAAGGAAGACGGGAGACAGTAGTACAGAGAAATCATTTTTATTGACAGGAAAATTGTTAGAACACTAATATTCTCCTAAATATACCTCCTCCCTCCCTCTGTGTAGCAATGCCATGTTTACCTGAATTTAGAGACCCAAGAACAGATATGATGTATTAGCTACTAATGACCAAAGACCAAAAGAGTTGTTGGATGACATCAAGAACATCATTCAGGAAGAAAGCAAAAGGTCATTAAGAAGACGATAAAGAAGGAAAAGAACAAAAATTTCTAAAGGCAGCTTGAGAAGACAAAGTGTGAAGTATTATAAAGACCTGGAGTTAGAAAACCAAAAGGGAAGAACATGCTAAACGTTTCTCAAGCTGAGAGAACTGAAGAAAAAGTTCAAACCTTGACCTGCAATATTGAAGGCTCTGGTAGCGTAGTGGTTACGAGTTGGGCTGCCAACCATAAGGTCAGCAGTTCAAAACTACCAGCCGCTCCACGGGAGAAAGATGAGGCGTTCTGCTCCAGTAAAGATTTACAGCCTCGGAAACCCTATGCAGGGTCACTGTGAGTTGGAACTGACTCCACAGAACTTAACAACAACAAGAACATGGCTAAAATATTGAATGATGTAGAAAGTATCGAAAGAAGATGGAAGGGGGGATACACAGAGTCACTGTAGCAAAAAGAAATGGACTATGTTAAACCATTTGATCAAGATCCAATGATACTGTAGGAAGAAGTCCAAAGTACACTGAAGGCATTGGCAAAGAAAGGCTCTGGGAATTGATGGAATACCAATTGAAGTCTTTAAACAGACTAGGGCAGCCTTGGAGGCACTCACTCATCCATGACAAGAAATGTGGAAAACAACTAACTACCTGGTCAGAAGATTGGAAGAGATCCATATTTGTGTCCATTCCAAAGAGAGGTGACCCAACGGAATGCAGAAATCAGAGAACAATGTCATTAATATCACATGCAAGTACATTTTTGCTAAAGATAATTCAAAAATGGCTGCAACAGTACATTGACAGGGAATTGCCAGAGGTTCAAGCCAGATTCAGAGGAGTACACGGAGCGAGAGATCTTGACTGAAAGCAGAGAATACCAGAAAAATGTTTATCTGTGCTTTCTTGACTGCAGAAGCTTTTGACTGTGTGGATCATGACAAAATATGGATAACATTGTGAAGAATTGGTATTCCAGAATACTTAATTGTGCTCATGAGGAACCTGTATATAGACCAAGAGGCATTCATTCAAACAGAACAAGGGGAACATTTGAAATCAGGAAAAGTGTGCCCAAGGTTGTATTCTTTCACCATGCTTATTCATTCTGTATGCTAAGCAAATAATCCGAGAAACAAGGTTTTATGAAGAAGAACATGGCATTAGGATTGGAGAAGACTCATTAACAACCTGCGATATGCAAATGATACAACTTTGCTGAAAGTGAAGAGGGCTAAAATACTTACTAATGAAGATCAAAGACCATAGCCTTCTGTATGGGTTGCATGTCAATGTAAAGAAAACAGAAATCCTCATCATAAATGGACCATCAAGATAAATGGAGAAAAGATTAAAATTGTCAAAGAATTCATTTTGCTTCCATCAACCATCAGCACTCATGGAAGCAGCAGTCAAGAAGTCAAATGAGGTATTGCATTAGGAAAATCTGTGCAAGACCTCTTTAAAGTGTTAAAGAGCAAAGATGTCAGTTTGAGGACTTGTGTCTGACCCAAGCAGTGATTTTTTTTTTTTTT